AAAAAACAGTTGGCTGTTCTCATCCACTTCTACCTTAAATTGTATGCGTTTGGGTGATTTTTCAGTGTCAACATCTGATCCCCTTCGATGACGACGAAGATCTCAAAAGCCCAATCAGAGAAATTTGATATGTGGTGTCGACAGACCAGTGGCTCCAGCCATTTCAGGTCCACCTCGACTATGAATCCAGAAATCGATGGACCCATTGGTGTGCGTTTGTCTGCCCGTAGCCTGTTATGTCGAACAGAGTGCTATTTAAAACAACTTCCGGAGTTAGGGCATTTGGGCGTCCACTTGATGATTGTCCCTTTCATTACTTTTGCTTTTTAGGTGTAACTCAATGGTCGTCACCACCAGATTCTAGAGTATAGAGGTAGGGGGGACGTGACATCAAAAGAAACCATGACTCCGATTGGCAGGGAACCCAAACCTTTCAGTTACTCTTACAATTATGCTGACGAATAGACTATGTCTTCTGAATCAGCATTCTGAATACGGAAACTTCAAAATAGCTACTTCGCCATTACGTAAGCTGAGTGAAACGATAGGTCGGAGGAAAGTGCAATCTCTTTGCATCTTGAGAGGGTCATTAGGTCGGACCATGGCCATTTTCTGGGCTCTCTCCAAGAGTCGTTTGGTTGCGTACCTTGCATATAAGTTCCCCGTTTCCAGAAGTATCGTACCAGTTTCGCGTCAGCGCTCATACATGATGGGGTTAGCATGGGACGTAAGAGTAACGATTTTCCGGTTAGCTCTTGGACTTTTGAATTTAACCCATCTTATCCAATATGACAGAGGAACATCCCCTGTCCGCGGGTACGATAACGGGGTGTTTGTTAGCTTTGGGTTCCTTTAGTGTATCGCTCTACCTAAGGTGGTAACAGAAGCTGCTACTTTCGATAGGTAAATGGTCACGTAGCAGCTGCCTCATATTAATACTGGGACCCCTGTACATCTACTACCCTCCTCTGTTGCTTTCTCCGGTGATGGGGTCGAGTGTGGATTCGAAACGTCAGAAGAATAAAATTCTTGTTCTAGACATTTTCATCTGCCTGCAGAAAATAGAAGGGTGTACGTGCACAAGTTGCAAGATATGTTGTCTGTGTCCGTCGTACCCCAGCGCGTGTGTACGCCTTTCGCTGTCTCACTGTCCACCAGCCAATCAGGGAAGGGACAGCGTTGATTGGCCTCGAGCACTCGCGGGGGTAGTGGCAAGCCTCGCGCGTCCCGGCAGCGAACCGACAGGGAATGTGAGGCGGACAGGAGGGCAGCCTGTCAAGGCAGCGGAGATCAAGGAGGCGCGGACTGCCACAGATATAGCTAAAAACTCAGACACTTGTTTCGCCGATATTCTGCGGTGGCATGACACAGTTGCGAGGGCTTCGGCTCATCAGCGGGCCCTCCAGCGTTCCCTGTGTGTTTTCCGGTAGATACGCCGGTTTCGAAGTAGCAGCTTTTTGATTTCCTCAGGAATTAATTGCTAACTTGAAGCAAATCCGTCTGCTTGAAGCGTATCAGCTCAGATTGAAATTTTATATGAATATTTGGACCGAAGTCCATTAGCCAGAGCAGAATAACCGCGTACAATTCATAAACTGCTAACAGGGAGCTAGTAGTACATACATAGTCTGAATGGTACACCATACTTGGCAGCACAGGTACGCACAGTAAAACACACTAGGTTCATTAACGTTGCCGTAAAAGAAAAGAGAGGTCGGAATCATCCTAGGACCTGCTTGCGTTACTAACCTGCCCCATTCTAGGTTAGGGTGGCGTACTGTTTGAATCGGCACCCAATTAGCCGCTGAGCTTACTGTTTTACCGGTCAAGCCACGTATTCATGCCTTGTTGGCAGCTGCCGGGAAGAGTGGGATGTGCTTGTTAGTCGCATCCACTGATTTAACCTGACTGAAGGATAGAATTCGGGCCACCCGTTTTGCCTAGGGGTCCCTTTGTGGAGTCCTCGCAGACTGTAGGGGTGATGGGCAATATGTGCAGGAGAAGTGTCACCGGAAAGTAGCCATGTTTACCCTGTGTTGACGTAGACTGACGTAAGCCAACCATCGCCCGGGAAGATCTTAGAATTTGCCTTAGATCTATTCGAACACTTAGTCAGAATGTCACAGATACTTCAGGCGACATGCAAACTTGAGGGTACAACGAAGCAAAGGAAGCTGGCATGACTGCTTGACTTGTTTCCAGTCATCAGCCAGTCATAGCACAAACCCCAGGCGTTGGTGCACTCGAGGTTTGAGTCCTGGTCCAATGGTTCTTTGCGTACTTATTTCGAATGATCTTACCAACTGAGTTGTCCATCTCGCCTCTCCAGTGGTTTCGATTAAAACATGGCTGGCTGCTTATGACACATAAGCCAGAAAGGTCGTTCCCGGTTTTCCACGTCTACTCACTAATATCTGCTCATCGTTATTCAACCATCTTTGTGGTTCTAGATCGCAGTTGTAACACGAATCGGAATCGTTCATATCCCCTCATGAAATATGAGTAGATTGGTGAGTGTAATCTATATGCAGAAAGTTTAGGCTGAAACCGCAGTGGAAACTAAGTAGGCTGGGCATTGTAGCCATTACAATGCTGAACATCTGGAGGAAACGCCACACTACTTGTTGCCCAGGACTCAGTAACCCGTAAATCTTGACAAATCATCTACGAACATCATCCGCCCCAGTCTACTGGTCAAAAAACAGCGCGGAATGACTCTTTGCCATTACAGATTATATAAGTACTTTGCATGTACATTCTCTTTTATGTATGAAAATTGAGAAAGCTAATCGAATACATTAACAAAACTTTGCATATAACCAGGCAAAGTTTCATCAGCGCAGTCAGGATTTGCTTGATTTTCATGCGCCTACCTGCAGATCTGGTGTTCCAACCAAAGGCCAACAGTGAATAAAAATATAGAGAAAAGTGACCCACGCACTTTTACTGACCCATTCCGATGAACTTATTAAAACCTGCTATACATGCAGGATCGATCTATGCCTGAGGACGCTCAACGAGGGCGTCCGTTCGGCTGATATCATTAACAAACGTCAAGAAACTCTATCGTCCCGATTTTCACTCGAAGTGTTGCTTTTGGCGGAGCTAATTACTTGTTCCGATGCACCCAGTTATACAAAACTCCCAACTATTGAAAAGTGTAACACTAATAACAAAAGCCATGTGACACGGAATAGTCAAGGTATCTACACCTGTCTAACACTGGCAAAAGTGTTACTATAATGGAAACTAGTAGGCGAACCGTTATGGTTTACAATTTTGGCGGTAGAGACCGACTTGCGTGATATCAAGCATGCTTTGAGTTTCTGGATCGCACAAGTTCTAATAACTTCCGCTTCGATACAGGACTGCAAAAACAGACTCACAGCCTACCTGTTGAGCAAAAATGATGTAAAATAATTAAATGAAGTGATGCTTGCCCCTGCAAGCGGATGTCCAGTCCTAAGGGTGGAGGAGGCTATGACCCATTCCGGGCGGCCGTTCATCATTCATTTCCAGCAAAAATGATTAACAGTACTGCAAGTGTTTTTGCGGTGCTGGTAGCGTGGGCATACTCACTGTGTATATAAAAATCATGGAAACAATTATACGAGCAGACCACTTCTCGTTATTTATTTTCCGGTGACTGGACCGTCTGTTAGCTCTGTTCACACCAGCCTAAACGGCGAGGATTTCAACAGGTGGTCTGGTCCCCCGAAAACAAATGACGGGAAGTGGTTTGTTTGTACGATTTTTTCAAAAGATTGGCGTACGAAAGCAGCGTATCCACGTTACCTGAACCGAGAAAAACTTGCAGTATTATGGCCGGATTACGAACCGACAGAAAGACACAAGATGAGGGAGCTCTGGACAGAACTGAAAAGAAGGACAGAAGAGGGGGAGAAGGGTTTGAAAATAAAGGAAGGCAAGATAATACAGATCAAGCGATCGTTCCTGTGGCAAACCCCATTTGTAATCAGGGCCGGCACCCTCCGAGAAGACAGACACTAAAGGTGCTGTACTCGAATGCGCAGAGCCTGTTAAACAAGATGGATGAACCCAGGACTCTGATCGACGAGCACAAGCCAGATATCATCGCCTTGACAGAAACATGGCTTTCTGAAGCTATTGGAGATCAAGAACGGGCAAATAATTCAGGTTAAGAGGACATTTCTCTGGCCGAAGGCCGTCATTCTGACAGCCTAACCAACGCAAAAGTTCCAACTCCTGAGGCTGTGGGCACCAGTGGTCGTTGTCTCGAAATCTATTACACTAACTGTCAGAGCCTCCTCAACAAACTAGATGAACTCAGATTACTAGTCTCTGAACAGAAGCCTCACATAGTTGTCTTAACAGAGACATGGTTGTCTGAGGAGATAAGTAGTAGCGAAGTCAGTATTGAAGGCTACCAACTGTTCCGTTGTGACAGATTTCAACGAAGAGGAGGAGGCACAGCGATTTATGTGTCAAATGAAATTCCTTGCTGTCAGCGAGAAATAACCGATGACGCGCCGAGAACTTTTGAAATAATTTCATGCAAGATATGCATCAAACGATTACCGACACTTAACCTGTGTGTTGTCTATCGGCCTCCCAGCTCGAATAAAATCGCCGATGTGGAATTGCTTAGTGTACTGGAGTCGTTATGTAAGCAGGAGAACTTATTACTTCTGGGTGACTTTAACGCTCCCGGAATAGACTGGAAAGTTCCCTTAGCAAACGCCCCGTTCACATCATTTGACCACAAGCTACTACAACTCTCCTTGAATGAATACCTCATTCAACACATAAAATTCGGAACAAGACTAAGAGACGGACAACGATCTAACTGTTTAGATCTCGTTTTTAGTAAAGAAGAAGGAGTCATAAGAGAAGTGAATCCCCAACCTCCCCTCGGTTTAAGCGATCATATTGCTTTTACATGCGTGTGCCCTCTCCTATCGAACCAACAACCAAAAATCAAGAGTCGCAGAAATATTTGGAAGGGTGATTTTAACGCAATGAGACGTGCTCTTTTGGAAGAAACCTGGTTAGTCAACAACGAAGATTCTGAAGAATTCTGGCAGTACTTTTGCGGGATTATAGAGAGTCTAATTGACTCCCATTGTCCCATAAAAATAACAAGACCATGTGAGCGACCGCCGTGGGTCAATTCGACGACAAAAAAGGCCATGAAGAAGAAACAGAGGCTGTGGAAAAAGTATATGCAACTTCGAGATCCAGTATCACTCGCCGAATATAAGGATCAGCGCAATAAATGCCGCAAACAAATACGGATTGCCAGAACTTCTTTCGAGCGCCGACTGGTAGCAGAATCCATTACATGTCCCAAGAAGTTTTACAAGTACATCCCTAGTAGGAGAAAACATAGGGACGAAATTGCGTGTCTTAAGGATAGCCTCGGAAACTTGCTAGTCGAAGGGCCCCAGAAAGTGCAGTTACTGTCTGAGTTTTTTCAATCGGTTTTTACGGAGGAGTCCTCAGAAGACGATCAGCAGTTTGAAATGGACAGAAACAGCCGGGATTTTCAAATGCGCCAAGATACTGCCGTCATTGAAACCGTTGCCTTTTCCGTCGGAGAAGTAAGACGCGTCCTCAGTCAAATAAAACCAGACAAGTCTCCTGGACCCGACGGAATTCCTGGTCTGATACTTAAGGAGCTATCAAAGGAGCTGGCGAAGCCTCTGTCGACGCTCTTTGAGCTGTCAATGAGAACAGGAAGGCTGCCATCACAGTGGAAGACAGCTAACCTCGTTCCCTTACATAAAGGCGGTAGCAGGATGGCAGCAAGCTGTTTCAGGCCTATTAGCCTAACCTGCCTCTCGTGCAAAACGATGGAAGCTCTAGTAAAGAGTGCCATACAGCAATTTTGTGAAGAAAATAACCTCTTGCAGGATTTCCAGCATGGCTTCCAGAGAGGACGTTCTTGCCTCTCAAATCTGCTAGCTTGTCTGGAGATCTGGACCAGGGCCCTAGAAGAGGGTTTTGAAGTTGATGTCGTGTACATCGATTTTCGCAAAGCCTTCGATACTGTCCCGCACCAACGCCTTCTTCACAAATTAAGCGCCATCGGCATCCGGGGAGATCTTCTGAACTGGATAGGGGCGTTTCTGGTTGGTCGGAAACAACGTGTTTGCATCGGTGATGATATGTCAGAATGGGTGAGCGTGACCAGTGGTGTGCCTCAAGGCTCAGTTCTGGGACCATTGCTATTCCTCCTTTATGTTAATGACAGCCTTCAGGAACTCGACTGTGGCAAAATAATGTTTGCTGACAACGTTAAGCTCTGGCAAGTCATTAAGAGTCCTAACGACCAGAGATCCCTCCAAAACAATCTTCATCGACTGCAAGCGTGGTCGGAGAAATGGCTTCTAGACTTCAATGTGCAGAAGTGTGCCGTCCTCCATCTGCGTCCAACTAACTCTCATTCAAATCAGAGCCTGAGGACATATCATCTGAAAGATATAAGACTCCCCGCAGAATCTTAACAGAAGGATCTCGGGGTTTGGATACAGAACAATTTAAAACCAACATTGCAGTGCCACAAGGCTGAAAAAAACGCAATGGGAGTGCTGCATGCAATCAAAAGGGCGTTCGTTAACTTTGACCAAGACCTTTTTGGGAGAGTTTACGGCACCTTCGTTCGGCCCCACTTAGAATATGGCATACAAGCATGGCGGCCATGGCTTGTAAAGGACAAAGCATGCCTCGAACGGGTGCAACGTAGGGCAACAAAGATGGTAAACGGTCTAAAAAACCAATCCTACACGGACAGACTGAATTGCCTTAATCTATTCCCTCTGTGTTACAGGCAGCAAAGAGGTGATCTAATCCTGGTTTACAAGATAATAAATGGCCTTGAGCATGGACTTAACTTTGAGGACATGTTTCAGTGGCACCTTTCACCCAATCTTCGTGGCCACTCGATGAAGCTACGGACAAGAATGTCCAGGCTGAACCTTCGTTCTGAATTTTTCACGCAAAGGGTAGTGGAGAAATGGAACGATCTCCCTCAGTCAGTCGTGGAGGCGACATCCCTGCAACTCTTCAAGAAACGCTTGGATGATTATTTGTGTCCCCTGTTTTCCCTCGACAGTCTGAATCTGAGCTAAACACCCCGGTTCCCCACATATTTTTTCTCCGTGACAATGCTACTCAAATGAATCAAGTACTATGTATATAGCGAACATTTTCATTGTTACTGTACAGTTATTTCTAACGAGTTGACATGTTATCAATAGGGTTTTCAAAGGCTTCGCCTATCATCCTTATCAAATAAACTGAAATAAACTAAACTGAAAATGGCAGCTAGGGCTGAGCCATGGCCCCTGTACCTCTGTACTACAAACAACCTGGCGTGTTTTAGTTTTGCAAAACAAGCTAAAAATTATGACTTAGACGGTTTCCAACAAACTGTAAGTCTCGGTCTGGGGATCAGCATGTCATAGCTGGCCTTCTTAATGGAGCCACTGTAAGGGTGCAATCCGTCTTGACATTGTATGCTATTAAAACGCATGGAATAGTGAAATAAAAAGTGCGGTAGATTCCCCCAGGGTTACATTTCTGAAAAGGACGAATGCCCATGTAATAACTGAGCCTTCGGGACAATGGTGAATTCCGTTACCTGCGTCTGTCGAAGTATCACGTTGCGCGCAAACATTGGTCAGATGAAGTCATTTGTTATTGCTTCCACACACTATGCGGAGTCTGAAAACACCCTGCCCAGATGAGACGGTCTACGCATATTAATGTACCGTAGTCTTCAAAAGCGAGGAAACTGTCCGTCCTTAGTTGAGATGCAGCGAAGGAACACCGGTCTCTTGTAGTCTGCACCTCAGTTCACAATACCGGACCGTCATGGGGAATAAGGGCTGATAATTATGTCCAGTCTCATCCCCTATAGAGACAGTCTGAGCTTGATGAGTCGATTGCCACTTATTTTCTGAAAGTTGTTTTTGGATAGCGGACATTATTCCTACTTCTCACTGTTCTTCCATCCGGCGGCTGCTTCAGAAGGACGGTTGCTATGTATCACCTTCGATCGATTGTTGTTTTTCTGAACAGGGTGCTTCTGAGACCGGTAACATCCACTTTACGTCTGACCAGTCCTTTGGAAAGAACAGCTGGTTGTCTATCCGGTGCATTGGCCACTTAGTTATATAAGATATGGCCGACACCCCAGCGCATCAGAGTGGGCAGTAACGTGACTGAAGTGGGGGGGGGAGGGGGGGTATAGATCCCTCATATTCATGATGGTTCGACCGCGAACGGTCTTAAGACATTTTCGGCTAGCTGAACGGAGGGGCTATGCAGGGAATTTTTTGCGACACATTTTCTAAATGTTTCATAGCGAAGGGGTAAATGGCATCACTAAATGATATAATTTGCCAAAAGGTACCCAATAAGGACCAACGTTGCATCGTGAGACAGTGGTGACTAGCGCACGATATGGATTCTGATGACGAGAGTCTTGAAAATCGTCGATATTTCTTTCCCTTCCCAGTGGCATGACTGTGCCCGGGAGGCCGGAAATGGATGTGGGCACCATGCCTAACCTGGCGTGAAGTCCCTGTCCAAGCGTGTTACAATTGCGCCGTTGTCTCGGTCCGACAGTTCTACTGTCGTATCCGATGATATCCACCATGTACCCCAAAGCAAGGTGGAGCAGAGACTGTGACTCGCGCGTGAATTAGTTTATAGTGAATGTAGACTTGCGCAGCATCTACCGGACTCTCTCTTCCCCACCTGGACCCGGTGTCAAGACAGAGTCAATAAGACCGGAGGCGGGGGGGGCACAGGTGGATGGCACGGTCGAGCCCGCACCTTGGCGCTCTACTCCACACCCCTTGGTGCACACAGCAAATGATCAGGTTTTTGACCAACAACAAGAACAACAACACCCAACAGGGGTCAGATGGACAATGGTGACTGGGCTGCCATGCCCACCACCTGTATACCCAGCGGGACCGCAAGCGCATCTACCGTCAGGGAACTGCCAGCGCATTCCAGGCGGCGAGGGCCATGGTTTGCTGATACTGACATAGTACACGCCTTCAGAGCTTTTGACCTCGAAGGGCGACACGTGGCTATGCATTTGACCAGGGCCGACACCCTTCAAGGTTGGGTAACCAAGCAGTCGTCGACTAAGAGGCACAACCCGTAAAGCACACACACACACACACCTTACATGAATGAGAGAGTCACAGATCGTTCGAGAAATGGACCATGACAGCCTGGCTCTCAACCCACCAGTCCGCCACTCAAGCACCCACACAACTGGACGGACTGCGTAGACTGAGTTAGAGGCGTCAGTCAGAAGCCCGGTGCTTGACGTGCCCTGATAGTCTCATACTCGAGCCACACATGTAGCTGGGGAGCAGCATGAAGATAGAGTCAAGACGCACACTTCCTACTTGCGCAGGAAAAGGCATTTGGGTGCTTGTGATGGGTGATGTTGATGTGTGATGAGATGCTGGTGAGGGAGGATGTGATGGTATGGCGCAGCCGGAGGCCGTCTACCGCAGGTTTTCGTGGACGCGTATGTGGCTGAAGAGGCCCATGCGGTGCAAGAATGTGCGAGTGCAATGTGGACAGTGGGGGCGGATGCGGTGAGTGTAGGTTGGTGCTCCAGGCACTGGTTCGCCAGTCTCTGTGCGATGGATTTACAAGTGACCGACCAGGCCGATGTGTGAGGTGAAGGCGCGATCGCAGTGAGGACAGGTATAGACCAGGTCCTCACCACGACTTTCAAGGCGGTGGGGAAGCTCACACTAGCGTCATGCATATTATAACAAAAAGCTTACACCCCACCAATCTGTCATTGTCTCCCCTCCTACAACGAGCCATGGCAAATCGAAGTCAGGTCGATTGGAAATACAATAGGGCAGCATGGTTGACGTGACATAAAGTGCAGTGAAGAAGTCACGTTTCCGAATGTACGTTTCCGATTATTCACCCGCAGGCTTGTAAAGTAAAATAGGTAAGTTACGATAAAGCAGGAAAAGCTAAAAAGGGTCAGTGAACGATAGTAATCGGTGAGAGGGTTGAGGGCTTTTTTGAAGGAGACACGATCGCTGGAACAAGAGCTTTATTAGGCTGACGCTACGGAATACTGTTCGAACCCATCATCAGAGGCACAAGCAGATACAGGGCTCCAGCATTTATAGGATGAAGTCGCCATGCTATTGCATACCTATAAATATTCACGGCTCCCTTTCTTCATCAGGGATCGTTGCATTTGGTGTGCTAACTGTTTGATGGCCGGCATTGGCGTCGTTAATTGCTGCAATTTCATCACGTGCGCTGGATTTTGGTTTGATGATAGCTCGACCATCTGATCCACTGACCCTGGCTTTGGGAAGTGTTCACCTGTGCGCTTCCCGTGTGGCTAATTACTCCGCCTAGGCGAAGTCTCGACACTGAGTATGGGAGGGGAAGATCATTGAACTTTTTAATGGATTGAGGGCCAGTAAACCATGACTTAAGCAGTTCCCGGTCCACACGGTTGTCACCTCTTGCGAGAATTTCGGCCTCGTTAAATTTGAATGTGTGGCCGGACCTCGTTGAATGAGCCGCAACTTGAGAGCTGGCTTCATTTCTCCGCACCGATTTAGCGTGTTCGGCCACTCGCATCTGGAGCAGTCTTCCAGTTTCTCCGACGCAGTTGCTTTGTCCGCAACTGGACCAGATCCGATAAACGACTCCCGACGTTTCTTGCTGCGGCAGCGGGTCTTTCGGTTTCATCACCTGACGCCCGAGGTTGAGGGCATTCAGACATACCGGGGGCACTTGTCGTTTAGTTCTGTCAGGGGCACGGGAAGGTAGGGGGGGAGGTGGAACTGCGGGGGTCCATCAGTGAGTTATGCTTATGTCGTAAAAAATGATTGGTTCAAACGACTCTTTCTCCTTCCCTCCCCCTTTTTTCAGAATTCGCGATCACGTGAGTACGGACTGCCGATACCCGCTGCAGCCTAGGGTTGAGTCACCCACCTGTTTAACGTTTTCCCAACCGCCTATTTTTGTTGTTCTGTATTCATTATTCACGTCCCTTTCTCCACTTCGTACAGTGGAATTTTTCATATCGTCTTAGTTACTCCTAGCTGCATTATCAATTCATTAACCCCTGCGAGTTCCACCAAATCCCCAGAGTTTCGATCTTCTACAATTTTATGTACGCATTCTTAACTGAAATATTTTATACTAATCCACGTATAAATTATCACTCGGATGTGTTTATGTAGCCCCATCTGAAGTAAACAAACCCCAGTCAGCTCTAATTAGAGACCGGTGGTAAAAGGGGTTTTTACAGGTGGGATCGGGGAACGCACAGGCGACGAAGTCAAGTAGTTGTATGCAAAAGAAAAGCTATTAGGAATGCGCGGTTGTACGTTGAATGGTTGAGAAATAATTGCGCTAACCCCGAACCCCCAACTATAACCCCTGATCCTAAGCCCTAACCCCTTAACAATAACCCTTAAGCCTGACCCTTAACTCCGACCCCAACAGTATTGTGTCCATCAGGTGAGGCTACCAAACCACATCTTACCTAATTATGATGCCCATGTCCCCTATATCCCAGGCTAGCGTATACGAGGAGATAAATTAGCTTTTGGACGACATCTCGTCGCCGTGCCTCGTGGAACCTAAGACAGTTATTCCGAGGGTCGGCGACAGTAAACCTCAACAGGATGCGGGAACGAACGTGTCGGTCTCAGATTGGGGAGATATAATATAAATGCCCTCTGAGAACAGAAGGCTGCGTTGGCTAACCGCAGCGAAAAAACTCTTACAATGCTCCCATCGACGAATGACATGTCTGGCGGGTATTTTCCCATAACTGAACCAGGCTTCACAAACAAATCCGCCGCTGATTAGGAGTTTGCCGTCCATCCTGTAGGCAGTGCGAACCCTAGGGCGTTCGTCACGGTAGGCATCCAGTAGCACGGTAGTGAACATGAGACTGATGAGTAAGGCGCAGGGACTCGGCCCTGATTCACCCCGTTGATCACTTTGAATGCCTCTGAGACGGCTTCATTGTCTGTGACGCACGCCGCCATGCCATCTTGGAGCTGACGCCCCATCTGAGCATGTCGCTCGGGACAGCCGAATTTATGTATGATTTTCCACAGGCGTTCGCGATTCACTATGCCAAAGGCTTTCGCCGGATCCAAAAGTGTAGAATAGAGATGGATCCGCATCTCCTGACGCTTCTCCTGCAGCTGGCGGGCGAAGAAGATGGTCCCACGATGACGGTGGGAACCGCACTGGCTTTCCGACAGGAGACCTTGTTCCAGATGGTGGTTCAGGCGGTTAAGGAGAAGGTGAGCGCCTTAACGCCATATCTCCTGAAAGGGCGCCGTTAGATGATCCATAAGTTAGGGACCACCGTTCTTGCATATCTCAACAGGGATAGCGTCCGATCAGGGCGTTTTCCCACTGGTGAGCTGCTGCACGGGCCTGATAGTTTCATGGAGAGAGGGCGGGAGGTGGAGGTCAAAGTGGGTATCCACCTGCGGCAGACGGGCAATGACGATGAGCCAGTGCCTGGAGCACCACTGCTCACACTGCCTCATGCATTCACTCATCACATGGGTCTATTCGGCCACATGCGCATTCACAGAAACCTGCGGTAGACAACCGCCGGCTACGCAACGCCATGATATCTTCTCACATCAACACCTCACACCACACAATACCATCACCCATCATAAGCACCTTATTGCTACCTCCACGCAAGCGGGAATGTACTTCACTGCTCCTTCTCCATGCGGTTCCTTTGCTGTATGTGAGATCCAAGTCCGAGGCTACCACGGTACGTCAAGCGCAATGGTTTGGAAGGCTGCTGTCTAACGCCCAAACTCACTTCCCGCAGTCTACCCAGTTGTTTGTGTATTTGTGCAGTGCCGAACTAGTGCGCTGAGGGCCAGACTGTCAAAGCTCCTACTTAAAGTGACCTTTGGTCCCCTAGGACATGTAAGATGTATGGCGCCCAACTCCTGTTGTGTGAAATTCTAGTGCTTGTGCTTGGGGGGCCAGGTCGTGCCGTAGCGCGCGCAGACATGGTCAGTAGACCATGTCAGCCACCGCGCCCAATCCCCGCTCCAGTCAACTGACCGGCTCGGACAGTGGCTGAGGCACGGGGACGGGAAGGGAGAGTGAGGTCGACGACTCAGCGCATTTTCCTCACTATAAGCAATCTGACGGGCTTGAAGCTATCACGGCGCGCTAAAAGCCGTAGCTTGGAAGGTTGCCAACTAACGGGATAACCTGGATTCCGCAGAGGGTCTAGTGTGTGTGTTTATGAGTGGCGACCGACTGGAAGTCTAAGAGCCAGGCTGCGATGGCTGCTTCTTAATGTGGCTTTTATATCACTCCCACTCCATGGGATCCGAGGCGGGGTGTGACGGCATGCCTAGGTGCGGCCTCAGCTTCGCTAGCCCCTTCTGTTTTTGTCAGTTAAAATTCTTGTCATTTACTGTGTGCACCAGGGGATGTTGAAGGGAGCGTCAAAGTGAGGGCTCGACTGTGCCATACTTCTGCGCCCTCACTCGCCTCCGGTCATCTTGACTTTCAAATGAAGGCGAAATTTCGAGATCCAGGTGTATGCACAAATGAAGAAAAAGAGTCGAGCATAACAATGCTGCGATTTGAAAAAAAAGACACGATCACCGGGACAAGAGCTTTATTAGCCTGACGTTTCGGATTCCTACTCGAATCCATCATCAGAGACAAAAAAGCAGAAACGGGTGGTTGTTGCACAAGGGGCTGCGATATTTATAGGATGCAGTAGCCATGCTACCGCATACCTATGAACATTCACGGCTCCCCCCTTCATCCAGGATCGTCGCACTTGGTGTGATCATTGCTTGATGGCCGATATTCGAGTCGATAATTGCTGCAATTTCATCACGTGCGTTGGATGTTGGCGTGATGATCGCTCGACCATCTGACGGACCGACCCCGGTGTTGGGAAAAGTGTTCACCTCTGCGCTCCCCGCATGGCTTGTTACTCCGCCCAGGCGAAGTTTCAGCACGGAGTATAGAATGGGAAGATTGTTGCACTTGTTGATGGACTGGGGGCCAGTAAACCATGATTCCAGTAGCTGCCGGCTCACGCGGTTGTCACCTCTTGCGAGAATTTCGGCCTCATCGAATTTGAATGTGTGGCCGGATCTCGTCCAATGAGCCGCAACTTGAGAGCTGGCGTCATTTCTGCGCACCACTGCCGCGTGTTCGGCCATTCTCGTTAGGAGCTGTCTTCCGGTTTCTCCGACGTAGTTGCTTCGTCCGCAACTGCACCAGATCCGATAAACGACTCCAGACGTTTCTAGCCGTGGCAGGGGGTCTTTCGGTTTCATGACCAGACGCCTGATGGTTGCCTCCGGTCTGTGTGCCACTCCAACCCCAAGTGGTGCGAGAAGGCGGCCGACAGCTTCCGAAACGTTCTTGACATACGGAAGTGCCCGCCAAGATTTGGTGTCCGTGCAGTTAGGCCTTTCGTCCCTTTTGCGTATGCACCGGTCGAAGAAGTTGCGCGGGTAGCCATTGGCTTTGAAGACCCGTCGGAGGTATTGTAGTTCGGCAATTTTGTCTTCCGGCTCACTGCAGTGCGTTTCGACACGCCGATAGAGCGTCCTTACACAACTACGTTTGTGGCTGATTGGGTGGTTACAGTTGAAGGGGTGTAGGGGTGTCAGCGGTGGGTTCACGTAATGGTCGTGGTGGTCGCTCACTTGCTTGCAGGTGAGACTGCGCCCAGCGTCCACTTGCTGGCACTCAACTCTCACCTGTGGCTCCATGTAGCTGGACTCTGCTCAGCGGCCACACCCCGGGCAACCGTCTCGACCGGCGGGCTAAACCAGGTGAGGGGGCCCTGTGCGCTGTGCCGTGTGCACAGGGTTTGCGGATTCCGCTGGATGGAAGGTCGGGTGGAACCTTGCGTCGGCACCGTCGTGACGTGGTTCGTCTCTGCACTCCGCTGGACAGCCGGTGACGGGATGGATCTCCACATCGACATCGCCTTGACGCGCCCACCTACGCCGTCGGAGACCGCGGCTTACGGCGAATTCGAGTCGCTCTCCACTAAAACCCGAAGTCGTGGTCCCATAGTGGAGTTCGGCCGTGTCACAACGGCACATGGCAGCCCTATTCAGGGATGGCACTGCCAGCCCCCACGAGGGGAAGGGCCTAGAAAAGGTGGCCTAAACATTGCTGGGTACCACGCCGTCTCCAGGCTAGCCAGGGCCGCAGACGTCTAATCATGGTCGAAACAATCGAAATCGAAACTACAACAATACCAATAACGACAACAACAACCATACTCATTCTCCTCATCCTACCTCTTCTTCCTCTTCCTCTGCCTATTCTTCTCCTTCGTCACCTTCTTCTCCATCTCCTTCCCGTCACCCCACTCGTTGTCACCAGACTGGCAGGGTGAGCCCGCTCACTCTGGCAGCCTGGAATTTTCGTTCCCTTTTAAACAATCCGAGGAGCAACCGACCGGAATGGAGGACGGCGCTAGTGGCACGAGAACTGGCGCGCTACAAGGTGGACATCGCCGCACTCAGCGAGACCCGTTTCTTCGAGCAAGGCCAACTGGAGGAGGTGGGTGCCGGCTACACCTTCTTCTGGAGCGGTCGACCCAGGGCAGAGCGACGGGACGCGGGTGTCGCCTTCACCATTCGGAACGACATAGTCGGACGACTGCCCTGTTTGCCGCAGGACATCAACGATCCGCCTGCCTCTCCGGGGAGGCAAATTCGCCACCATCATCAGCGCCTACGCTCCGACGATGACCAACCCCGACGCCGTCAGAGACAAATTCTACGAGGACCTGCACGCCCTCTTGGCGACTGTGTAGAAGGCGGACAAGTTGATTGTCCTTGGCGACTTCAACGCCCGCGTCGGCACAGACCATACTGCCTGGAGAGGCGTGCTGGGTCCCCACGCTCTCCGCGGCTCAAACGACAATGGTCTGCTGCTTCTTCGCACCTGCGCAGAACACCGCCTCATCCTGACGAACACCTTCTTCTGTCTGCCGGAGCGAGAGAAGGCCATCTGGAGGCATCATCGGTCGCGCCAGTGGCACCTGCTGGACTACGTCCTCGTCCGGAGGCGAGATCAGAGGGACGTGCTGGTGACAAAGGCGATCGCGGGTGCTGACGGGTGGACCGACCATCGCCTCGTCATCTCGAAGATGCGTATTCGCTTACAGCCTCGCAGGAGACCACAAGGTAAGCGACCCCCAGGTATTTGCTTTGTAGTAGCAGCTCAATTGTCTCGATCGCCAGGTCCTGGGGAATAGAAGTAAAAAGGAATGTAACATCAAAAGATACCATGACCTCATCTGGATGGATACTTACCCCTTTGAGTTTCTCCAGGAGTTGTGCTGACGAAGAGACCGTGGTGTCTGACTCAGCAGTTAGGAACTTGAGACGTCGGAACAGCCACTATGGCCTTCCTAAAGTGCACAAAGACGGCGCTCCTCTCCGACCCATCGTGTCGCTCCAAGGGACTCCAACGTACGGACTGGCTAAGTGGTTGTTCCGGCGTCTTAAGTTCCTGACCGCTGAGTCAGACACCACGGTCTCTTCGTCAGCACAATTCCTGGAGAAAATCAAAGGGGTAGGTATCCATCCAAATGAGGTCATGGTATCTTTTGATGTTACATTCCTTTTTACTTCTACTCCCCAGGACCTGGCGATCGAGACAATTGAGCTGCTACTACAAAGCAAATACGATGAAACGGACAACCGTCTTGGACACGCCCAAATCCTTCAGCTCCTTCAGCTCTGTCTCAGGACGTACTTCACGTTCGACGGGACAATCTACGAACAGGTGAAGGGCACAACAATGGGTTCGCCGATTCCGGGATTCATCGCCGAAGCGGTCCTGCAACGGGTAGAGTCGCTGGTCTTCCAATACCACAGACCGAAATTCTGGGCCCGGTATGTCGATGATACCTTCGTCGTCATCGAACGGGATCAGGTGTTGACATTCCAAGAACATCTCAGCGCCGTCTTCCCGGACATTCAATTTACGATGGAGGAGGAAGAGAACAACCAGCTGGCCTTCCTGGATGCCCTCGTATGTCGCAAAGATTGTGGTGAACTGAAAACCAAAGTGTTAAGGAAAGCGACAAATACGATGCAAGTACTGAACTTCAACAGTAACCACCCAATCAGCCACAAACGCAGTTGTGTAAGGACGCTCTATCGGCGTGTCGAAACGCACTGCAGTGAGCCGGATGACAAGATTGCCGAACTACAATACCTTCGACGGACCTTCAAAGCCAATGGCTACTCGCGCAACTTCTTCGACCGGTGCATACGCAAAAGGGACGAAAGGCCTAACTGCACGGACACCAAATCTTGGCGGGCACTTCCGTATGTCAAGAACGTTTCGGAAGCTGTCGGCCGCCTTCTCGCACCACTTGGGGTTGGAGTGGCACACAGACCGGAGGCAACCATCAGGCGTCTGGTCATGAAACCGAAAGACCCCCTGCCACGGCTAGAAACGTCTGGAGTCGTTTATCGGATCTGGTGCAGTTGCGGACGAAGCAACTACGTCGGAGAAACCGGAAGACAGCTCCTAACGAGAATGGCCGAACACGCGGCAGTGGTGCGCAGAAATGACGCCAGCTCTCAAGTTGCGGCTCATTGGACGAGATCCGGCCACACATTCAAATTCGATGAGGCCGAAATTCTCGCAAGAGGTGACAACCGCGTGAGCCGGCAGCTACTGGAATCATGGTTTACTGGCCCCCAGTCCATCAACAAGTGCAACAATCTTCCCATTCTATACTCCGTGCTGAAACTTCGCCTGGGCGGAGTAACAAGCCATGCGGGGAGCGCAGAGGTGAACACTTTTCCCAACACCGGGGTCGGTCCGTCAGATGGTCGAGCGATCATCACGCCAACATCCAACGCACGTGATGAAATTGCAGCAATTATCGACTCGAATATCGGCCATCAAGCAATGATCACACCAAGTGCGACGATCCTGGATGAAGGGGGGAGCCGTGAATGTTCATAGGTATGCGGTAGCATGGCTACTGCATCCTATAAATATCGCAGCCCCTTGTGCAACAACCACCCGTTTCTGCTTTTTTGTCTCTGATGATGGATTCGAGTAGGAATCCGAAACGTCAGGCTAATAAAGCTCTTGTCCCGGTGATCGTGTCTCCTTCTTCAAGACTTCTTCCTGCGACTCGTCTCTTCGCTTCTATTGGCAATACTGTGTTTATTGTCGTGAGCTTTCAGACTCGTACAGCAGTCCATCGTCTCATGTACGAGTCTGAACGCTCAGGACAATAAACACAGTATTCCGGTGCTCGACTCTTCTTTTTCACTTCTTGACTCTGTCTTGACACCGGATCCAGGTGGGTAGTGGGGAGGAGAGAGTCCGGTAGATGCTGCGCAAATCTACGTTCACTATAAACTAAATCACGCGCAATTTACCGTGTCTGCTGCACCATGCTCTTGAGCACATGTTGGACATCTCCGGCATCGACGTTGAGCTGTCTGTTGACGAGTCTCATTAAGATAGCTTCATATTTGACAGCCACGCTATAGCTCAAATAACGCAGCCTCTCTAATAGGTGTTAGGATATGACGTAAATCACACCTGAAAGCCTACTGACATTTTATCCAGGTCAAGTAATGTCCTCTTATGTAAAATAACAATTAGCGGCAGGAGCCATGATAAAGGGAGACACGATCGATGGGACAAACGGTTTATTAGCCTGACATTTCAGATCCCTCCTCGAATTCACCATCAGAGACAATAGCAGATAAAGATGGGGTTAGATCGCAGTTGGTAGACAGGAATGAGGAGGGGACGGCGAGGCCCTTGTTTTACGGGAATGGTGGGAAAAGGGGTTATAGGGGTGGGGTAAAAGGAAAAGCCGGTAGGAGAATGTTGGAGTCTGTTGGAAGAAGAAAAGTTACTGGCCAAAGTGAACAAAAGTTTTAAACAGGTGGAATAATGGCAGAAATTTAAAAAAAATCCCGCAGCCCGCGGAAAATGACGGAGTTAATTAGTGATAGGATAAGCGCACCATAGCACACTGAGAACCAGTGAGAGGTAGGCGGCGGATGGCAAGGTCATTCCGCATATCGTAACGGAAAACCGCAGGCAAAATCATGAATGTCAGTGAAGTTGCGAGCGGAAGCAGAATTAACGATAAGGAAGCCCAATTTCTGTGAGTGAGTACGCGGATCATTGAGAAGTAAACAAAGATAAGCTGCCAGGGAGACGCGGCAGCAGGTGGCGTACGATTTGGCGTAATAAAAAGAGGACGACGTGGCTGGTAACCTTGGTGGTGCCGAAAAAAGAGTAAAACAAGGCAACTGGCATGGTTTACTAAGTTATCGGCGTATTTTTTGTCCTGTTTTCGACCACGGACTGCAAGGAAGCCGAGGAGGGCAGGTCCGTAAATCAGTCAGCCAACGAAATTTGGCGAAATCCAGGATGTGATTCAATCACCTAAGCATGTGCAGTATTTGCAAGCTAAGGAACTGCTGGGCTCGCAAGTAATGTGTCGATGCCGCGTGTCAATGCGGTTGCAAGTGCTGCGGCAACACACAGACGGTTTTACCTACAGGTTAGGCTAACAACTAGTAGCATGTACTCTGCTGATGTAGCAAATACTATTAGGCTAAAATCCAACGAAACCACATGCACTAACCCTAAGTCTAAGGCTCTAAGATTAATCCGGAAAACACTAATTCTGGCCTTAACCCCTACCCTATCCTCAAAACTAGACCCTAACATTAGCCCTAAAACCTAACCTTAATCTCGAAAACCCAACCGTAACTGTCTTAGTAAAACGGAACCCTTACACTGACCCTAACCCTAAAATTAGCCCGTAACCCTAACCTTAATGCTAAACCGTAACCCGGACTATAACACTAAAGCCAACCCCTAACCCTAGCATTAAACCTAAACGCAACCTTAAACCTAAAACGTAACCGTAAAGTCCTAAGCCGAAACGCCAACTCTAACTGTAATGGGGGCAGCAAATACTAACATTAACCTTAACCATGAAATCCAAACTTGACGGTAAGCCAATAACCTAACCCTAAAATCCAACGCCGACAGCAACCCAAACCTAACCCTAGACTAAGCCTCAACCCTAGCCATAAAATTAAACCGAATCCTAACCCTAAACGTAATCCTAATCTCAGACTTACCCTAACAATAATCTTAACCCAAAATGGAACCCATAACTCTAACCCTTACATTAAAACCAAACCTAAACACAAACCAAACCCTAACAACACCCCTAAATCATAACCCTAACCCTGACCCTAAAGTTAACCCTAAATCTAACCTTAAACCTAACCTTAATCCAAAACCTAACCCTAACACTAAACCCTAACCATAACCTCAACTCTAAAATTACCCTTAAAACTAACCCTAGAATTAACACTAAACATAGACTTAACCATAACACTAAACCTAACCCTAACCTTAACCGAAAGTTCGACCGTCGATTTCGACGATGTCCGCCCTTACCTAAACCAAACCCTAACCCTAAACCGTAACCCTAACCCTGACCCAAAATATAACGCTAACCTTAATACTAAGCCTAACCATAAGCTAACTCTAAACCAAATATTAGCATTAAACCTAACACTAACCTTAACCCTAAACCAAAAATTAACACTAACCTTAGCCTTAACCCTAACATTAGCCCTGACTCTAATACTAAATTAAGCCTTAACCCTAACCCTGAACCTAACCCAAAATTTAGCCTTAAACCTAAGCTTAACCCTAACCCCAAACTTAACATTAAACATAGCCTTAACATTAACCCTAGCCCTGACCTTAATCCTAATCTCAGCCTTAACCCTAAACCTGACCCTAACCTTAGCCCTAACCCTTACCCTAACTCTAAACCTAACCCTAAACTTTACCCTAACCGTAACCCTAAATTTAGCCTTAACCTTAACCCCCAACACTAAAAATTGCCCTAACCCTAACACTAAACTAAATCCTTACCATAACATTAACGCCAACCCTAACCCTAGTCCTAAAATCAACTCTAATCCCAACTTAAACCTTAATCATAATCTTTTCTTAACCATAACACTAACCTTAAACCTAACCCCAACCCGAATACTAACACTAACCCTAAAAGATAACCCTAACCCTGAATCTAAACTTAACCCAAACCCTAACACTAAACTTAAACCTAACCCAAAACTTAACACTAACCTTAGCCTTAACCTTAACCCTAAACCTACCCCTAAACTTAACCCTAGCCTTAGCCGTAACCCTAACCCTAATCTTGACCGTTAGCCCTAACGGCAACCTTAACCCCAATCATAACCCTAACCCTGACCTTAGAGGTAACTCCAACGGCTACCTTAACCCTAACCGAAACCTTAAACCTAACCGTAGTCCTTAGACATAGCTCTAACTCTAAAACCTAACCGTAATACTGGAACCTAATAGTAAACTCAAACTAACCGTAACCCGGAAGCCTAACCCTGAAGGCCTAACCCTAACCCGAAAATCTAAAACCAATAACCGGAACCCTATCCTAACCTCAAACCTACAAAGGAAGCCAAATGTTCTAACCCCAACCCTAAAGCCAAACCATAATTGCAAACCTAAACCCCAACCCTAACACTGAAACCGGACCCTAAAACGCAAATCCTATTCCTAAAGCTTAACCTACGCCTAACCCTAACCCTCACTAAACCCAACAGCCTGACCGAAACGGGCGACCTACCTAATGCAGTAGAAGCACACCTACTGCTAATCAGTTCCCTAGACAAGGTAAGCACACCTATTGATAACAAGTAAGTACGTCGACAGTATCAACGTATAATGTCTGGTTACCAACTGCGATCTTACCAAAGAATGGTTAATGGGCAATGCACTGCAGTATTTATAGGATGTAGTCGCCATGCTATCACATATCTATGAAAATTCACGACATCTCCCCTTTCATCAGGAATCGTTGCATTTTGTGGGATAATTGTTTGATGGCCGATATTTGTGTCGTTAATTGCTGCAATCTGATAAGAAGTAGAAGCGATCGCTGGAACAAGATCTGTATTCGCCTGACGCTTTGGATTCTCGCTGGAACCCATCACAAGAGGCAGTGACTGAAACGGGTTATTCATGCACAGTAAGTTGCAGTATTTATAGGATACAGTCACTATGCTACTGTATACCTGCGATAGTTAACCGCCCTTCCCTTCATCGAGAATTGTTGCTCGCTGGTGCGCTAATAGGTTGATGGCCGGCATGCGGATTGTTAACTGCTGAAATCTCATCACCCGCGTTCGATGCTGGCGTGATGACTGCTCGGCCATACGGCTCACCGTCCTGCTCGCTCCATGAGTGGTTAATTACTTTGGCCAGACTATGACTCAGCACCGAATGTGGAGTGGGGTCATCGTTGCATTTGTTAATAGACTGGAGACCAATGAACTATAACTCAAGCAGCTCGCGGCTCACGCGGTTGTCACCTCTAGCGAGAATTTCGGCCTCGTCGAATTTGAATGTGGCCGGGTCTCGTCGAATGAGCCGCGACCTGAGAGTTGGCGTCATGTCTCCGCACCGTTGTCGCGTGTTCGGCGATTCGCGTCTGGAGCAGTCTTCCAGTTTCTCCGACGTAGCTACTTTTCCCCCAACTTTATCAGATCCAGTAAATGACTCCAGACGTTTCTTGCCGTGGCAGTAGGTCTTCTGGTCTCATCACCTGACGCCTGATGGTTGCCTCCGGTCTGTGTGCCACTCCAACCCCAAGTGGTGCGAGAAGGCGGCCGACAGCTTCCGAAACGTTCTTGACATACGGAAGTGCCCGCCAAGATTTGGTGTCCGTGCAGTTAGGCCTTTCGTCCCTTTTGCGTATGCACCGGTCGAAGAAGTTGCGCGGGTAGCCATTGGCTTTGAAGGTCCGTCGAAGGTATTGTAGTTCGGCAATCTTGTCATCCGGCTCACTGCAGTGCGTTTCGACACGCCGATAGAGCGTCCTTACACAACTGCGTTTGTGGCTGATCGGGTGGTTGCTGTTG